TCTGGCACCATCAGATAAAAGAGTCAATTTGATTTTCTGAGAGAGAAAGAGAGAGAAAATCAACATGTATAATTATGCTGTTTGTGGTTGTGTGTTTGAAAATGTTGTCACATTGTCTGTCATTATGTAAGAGTTATTGACTAAGTAGGTCTTATATGTTTGTGTGCTTTTAAATTTTAAAATAGGGGCTACCTCCCTTTTAAAAGAGTACATGTAATGGTTAATTGCAATGTGTCCACCTGAAGGCATATAACTATTTCATAAATGTACAGTTTCACAGGTATCTCTTGTAAATTGCTTATAAAGCCATCATTCCCCCCCCCCCCTAAAAAATACTTATAAAGCCATCCCCACTCCCCCTTCCCCCCCCCCCCCCCCCCCCCAAAAAAAAAAGCAACAAAAAACTCGCTGAAATAAAATGACAATTTACATTCTTGAATAGAGTACTAATCAAAATAATGTCACACATTTAGAAAGTAGGTTAATTGAGCATGTCACATTGAAAATGTTGACATCACTTCTCTTGTGTTACCCTCTCCTTAACCCTGTATCTGAAATGTCAACCAAGCTGTTAGTTAACACTCGTTTTCCAACAATCTTATCCCTTACTCATCTTGAATAGATATTACTGGCAAACTAAATTTTCATCTTAATATCCCCAAAGTTGATTATGAACATTTCCAAAAAAATGGAAGCTGGACAAGTCCATTTACAATATTCAAAAGGTTAATGGTGAACACCCTCAAATGAAAATGAACCATTTCTCATTGCATACCCAGCTGATTTTAATGCTAAAAGTAAATTAAATGAGTTACATAGGATTGAGCTAAATAAAGTAGATAGAAGAGGCTGCACATTTGTGCAGTCAAATTTACCCCAGTTTAAATTAAAAGAAAGAGCATCGAAACACAAACCCAAATAGCCTTATTATCTGGAGGTTATTTTTCAAAACAAAACATTTTTTTTCAAAATGGGACAAGCCCATTTCGCAGTTTTAGCAGGTAATTTTAACTGAATTAAAATCCACATTGAAGCTCTATATATAGTATATGACGTTAAAACCTACTATTTATATAAACAATGCTATATATTATAATGATAAAACAAGACTATAAAGATTTTGACAGCCGTGAGTTTTCTCATTTCCATTATTAATAAGTTGAATATAACTGCATGTTGGCTGCAGGTGATTATGGAGTGTTATAGGTGGTATAACAATGTAGGTGTGCTGTATATTCAGACAGGTATAATTGTTTTTTGATAGGCATTGTTGTGTAAATTTGTGGCTCATAATATCATTAATAAATTGGCACCTGTCTCTTATGTTAAGACAACATTTTGCTTTCTGTAGGTAAATTTCTGCCACATGTGAATATAGCCAACTGTTTAATTTTCTTGATTAAAAAATGCTGTAAAAAGGAAGATTCTCTGAAATAGGAGCAATGAAAACATAAATAATTAACTGAATGATGGGAGTCCTTTTCCTCAGGAATACTTGACTTAGGCTCTTAAAATGAAAAAAGATTAAAGCAGCTTAGATAATTCATTTTCAAAACTAAAGATGTTAGAATCTTAGATTTCTGAAAGGACCAAGAAGAGTGTCTGTCTGTGGGTAAGTGGTTAAGGTTGTTAACTTCAAACCATTTTGCCCCTCTCCGCTTTAGGTTCAAATCCCAACATGGACTATTGATTTCATCATGTGATTAAACTATCCAGCTTACGAAAAGAACATCAGTGGTTCCAGAAGGACCAGAAAGTTATGACCAACACTGAGATTCTTTCATGTGAAAAAGTTATCCATTTAGCCTACAAAATGTGGGTGGTTCCAGTTATAACATCACCAAGATGAAGTACAGGACAGGTCAACTATTTAACACTTCTGTTACCATGAAGAAAATATTTCTCCTTTTAGTACAGATCAAGTGTTTGTAAATGTTTAAGTTCATGTATCAGTTTGATGTGTTTACTAATTCAATTGTTTACATTGTATATCCCAGTCTCTAAGCTTCCTCAGGAGAATATGATGCCTCATAAATCCTTATATCAATATGATTCCCTCATGAATATAGTAATTTGTAAACTTTTCTGTCGCTCATAAATAATCACACATACGATGTGTTACAATCGTATTTGTGCGTCTTAACGCTTTCAGCTTTTATATTGTATTCATGTTTTAATGTGGTTATACATGTTATTGTAAGTGTGATGTTTTATCTGTATCAGAAATACATCTATTATATTGAATGTTAAACCGCCAGAGATTTCTCCCAAGTTTCTCACAAGATTCATTGCGGATGTCATAATGTAACACATGCATGCTACATGTTGTACTTAACAATCAACCTGCTGTAGTTCTGAAATTGACTTGTCTTAGCTTCCACTATACAGTATCAATTTTAGGGATGTTCAGATTAAAATTTGAAATGGGCAGTTGACAGTATACAGAGTGGTCCATAGCCTGGTCCAACTGCCCAGAATGTACAGGCTTGCCTGGCTCTATACTGGTGGCTGCACAGGCTAATCTTTCTGCTTCCAGCATGTTAATGGTTTAACCTTGACTGCTAGTGGCAATGATAAAAGACATGTGCCACTAGTGCGATAGCAAGACCAGCACCCTGTTCCGTATATGTTCTTACAGTCTGACAAGACTATATACTGTTGACTGCTCAATGGTAGGATTGATATTTGATATTGAAATGCTATTCAACACACTTGGCAGATCAATTATTATCAATGTAAGAGTTAAAAAAAAATATTAGATACCTGTGTAAATTAAGTTGGCAACAAATTCAGACTGCCTAGTTCAGTAGGAAGAGCAGTGGATTTTTCATATTTAAGTTCGATCCTCTGGCAAGACAGAATTTCTGTGACAATTGAAATTGAACGTTAACTCTAATTTGGTCATTTGTTTCTCACAGCTTATTCAGAAATTATATAGGGTAAGTAGTCATGGTAGGTCACTTGTTGCGAAATTGGCAGTTACTGGTGAGGTTTACAATGTAGTTTGTTTTGTGGTTCGACTACTGACATGTGACCAAAACGTGTTAAAAATTAAAACCGGCATAAAGCCAGAAAGAAATAAACAAACAAACAAACAAATTGCAATGGTATAAAACAATTTTAAAGTCATGACATTTTTCAGGAAGATACATGTAGCAACAGAATATTCATGCTCTGGCTCAGTGAGCTAAATTTTCACCAAGAAAAAACCCCAACAGATTTTCTTATATTCACATGCTGTTTCTATGTCCCTGACATACTGCTGTCAGTATGTATAGTGGGTTAGTTTGATCTAAAATAAACAACTCTATTTATATTCCTAATCTAATTAAATGATGAAACAAGATGTTCAGCTATTTTTACCCGAGGCTGTCCAATCAAAGACTTATCCTTTGTATTGATTGACTGTTGGTTAATTATCCTCCAGACTCTCCTGAAGTAAGGCCATAAATCCATTTCAATATATACCACTAATTATTGGATAGTTCAGAGATATATATAGTAACAGTACTCTTGGCAGTAGATTTACTTGAATGTGTCATTTATTGATAAGAATCTGGTTTCAGGCAATATACAGATACATTGTAAATTACATTTTTATGAGGAATCACCAGTTGAAAGGCTTTAGTCTGGACTGGCCAGAGAAATTGGAGAGATTTGTACTAATAAATTTTGTCCAATTATGGCCAGTTTTAGGGCAGGAAATGTATTGTGTATTCCATTCGATTCTGATATATGCATACTGGCTGCTGTTAGATATTATTGCTTCAGATATAAAATAATAAATTTAACTGTTAGTAAAAGAAGAAGTAAAAAAAGTGAAAAATATTTCCTCAAACATGATAATGATTTAAAGGTACTTATTGTCACCTTAGTGCAGTTACAGCAGGGGTAAGTCCTTCTAAATTTAATAGGAGTTAACCAGTTATTGCACTTAGGTGGCAATATGTAGATTCTGTTATCCAAAGAGTTTAATTGATTAATGAAAATATTTGTCTGACCTGAAACAAAAATATTTCTTGATAAATTTTCTAATTTAGAAATCAATTACAATTTTCTCTGTGCTGATGTGGTGTAATATTGAAAAAAAAAATACGATGCTTTCTATCCTTACAGGAAAACAAAAGTGATAAGCAGTGAGTTATATGATTTTTATCTCACTGATGTATCATATTTTACTGGAAACAGGAGAACAAAAATCAATTAGGCCATTGTTCTTAATGAATTAAATGTAGCATTTATTTTCACAATTGTTTGCTAATTATTTATGAAGGGTAATATGATGTATTGAATATCCCCTGCTTAATCAGTCGATGTTAGCAATTCTGCTCTAGTTGTTATTCATGAATCATGTTCATTATACCGAACATAGCAATGTAAAATTCTTAATGTTATTCATGTTGTATGGAAATTTCATTGACATAGGTTAAACAATGCATTGTTGGTGAGAAAATCTCCAATCTACTCCAGTAACAGTAAAGAATTAGGCCAATTGAAGTCCGTACTTAAATGATAATGTCAAGTCGTTAAAGTTTTCATTGATGTTTTTGGAAATACGCATGACATTATTTTGGTTGTTCTGACCCAATATAAATTCTGTCATTTTTGTTGTCTCTATGGAGTCAGGGATATATGACTAAAAGTAAAAGAAAGGTTTTATGGTGAACAGCCATTTTTAAAGTCAAGTTGTTGTATTATCCTGGAAATTTAAATGAAGAAGTGAAACAAAATGGGAATTAAATGAGGCACATTGAAACTGTGGGGAACTAAACTTATCAGTTAAATTTTCAGTTTCATGTTTAAGATGTTTTATATAATCTTAGGTACATGTAGCTTGAGAAATCAAGTGTCACTTCTGTAGACCTAAAGTGCTTTCATAATCACTTATTCAATTTCACTTTGTTTTACTTTTCTTGTAAAAAATACATTTTGTATATGAATACTCAATCTATTTAGTTGTTTTAATGAGGAAATTATGTTTATTTTATCGTATGATTTCAGATATATTAGAGTGTTCAGACAGATACAATAAAAATGGGATTCTGTGGCGGATGTGCGAAAGCATTGCTCATTATTTTCAACTTTATATTTTGGGTGAGTCAACTTAGTTTTCATTATATAATATGAATGTGTATCTATAATGATTAATTATAACATTATAAAAATAAGAGGCATTAAGTATGTCCATACATTGTATATGGGGAAATGTGGGAGATTATTGATCCAAGTAGATTTTTACCCTATCATCCTATACTGAATAATACATGCATTTCATTTAATAATTCACTATTTTAAGATTGAAAAAAGTCTCTACATCTCAAATATTCCTCACCACTTAAAATGTTTCAGAATTGGGGAAAATGTGATTTAGAAATTGGGATATCCGTCTCTTCGCCCCAAGGATAATTTGTATGAGCTTTAATTTGGTCACTGTAATCATGTTTCCTTAGAATACGAGTATTCATTGGTACTTCTAGAAAGCTTGATCATTACAGTCAAGCTAAAGTAACATACCGTGTGAAAATTAAGACTAGGACTATTGAGGTTTTTTTTCCGTATTCCTTCCATACAATGTATGTTCAAGGTGTAACATTTTACATTGCAATGGTGTTTTAAAATGTTGTGTGACACGAAGGCGCGTGTAAGAGCACATTATCGCAAGTAATTATGTCATATACAGTGATTCATGTTAAAATGAACGCTACACTACCTACTTGAAAAAAAAAGAAAAGAAGAAAGATGAAAACCAAAGGAATTGCTTGAAACAGCAGGTGGCTACAGAATCAACCTATGTAATCCAGTGCAGACAAAGATATTAGCAGGCACAACTATTCTGTATGATCATGGTCTGCACTGTTCGCAATTCAAACAGTGTATATCTTGAAAATTTCCCTGAAAAATGGTAAATAGTCTTGTCCAATTTGAAAGGTGGGCAAGTCCATTTATGATATTTAGAGGAGTACAGGTTAACCTTTGTCTGCATGCATGTCACATGTTTGCCCCCTATTGGAATCATTTATGCTGCATGTGCTGCTAACTCAATTGATGTCGGCATAGAAATACTAAAATTGAGAAGCCTAATCAGTCTGCATCGGAAATGCAATAATGATTATTGCAACTAGTGCATGTCTAGTTGATTAGCTGATAAACAATCAACATTATTATTATATGCATAGTACAGGAAATAAATAGGTCTGAAACAGAAATTTAAGGATGAAAATGTTGGGTTTCGAAAAAAAATAGAAAAAATAAATAATCCATTATTATTCCTTATAGGGATCATCATGTATGTGTTTAGTATAATACTGTTGCCATTGTCTATAATTCTGAACCTAGTGAAACCGAAAGTGGTAAGCCTTTGCTATAAGTGCAGTCGCGACCAAGCTATTGGCCTAATAATTTAAAGTTTTCACCTTGATTCAATAAAAGAAGGTGGTCAAAGTCATTTAAGCATTTCAGCAGCTAGTTATTTATATTCACAAAATGTGTTGTTTGCAGTTAGTAAAGGTCATAATCTATGTACTTATATACATATTTGATCATGTTAAGTTTATCTGGTAACTCAGTAATACTTGGATTGTGCATCACAACACAAATGTACCATGTTTTAATTCTCAGTGGTTGGTAGATGCTCTCACTTCAAGTATGTGAAATATCAGTCTGAGGTAGGTCAATTTGTACAAGTTATATTATTGCTGGTAGAAAAAAAACCTTATTGAAGTTGGCCATGATAACACAAACATTATATATACTGGCATTGAAAAATTAACAACAAGCAGCTTTGTTAGCCTACCTGCTGTTCTGTTGAATAGATAAAGCACATTATCTTATGAGAAAATCTGGTGCTGTTAGTCAGGTATGTTTACATTTTCTGGCTGCTTTGTAGTAAAATTAACAATGTTGATATTGTCATATAACCTTTGTACCCTTAATCTGCTGAGTTTGCCAGTCTTGAATTTGGAATAGTCAATTCAAAGTTTAAATTTGAACTTTCATATCAAAATACAAAAATTGTGCACCTAGCCAAAAATGATTAACCTTTCAAGTTTACCTCCAGTATAGGGCCAGACTAGCCTGCCCGCACATCCACCAAACTGCCCTGAAAAGCCCTACTGCTGGAACTAAAAGTGATTAGTCTATGTCACCAGTATAGAGCCAGGTCAGCCTGAACATTCATGCAGTTTGACCCAAGGCTTTATACTGTGGGTAGCTCATTCTTTTATTGGCTACGCTGCTCAACAGGGTCGTCTTTTATGGAATGCTGAGATTTTTGGCCATATTGGTAGGAGTTGTTATTATAAGCAGTTATATAATGTCATGTTGTTTTTATATTGAAATCCCTGGACTGCTCCAAATTCAAAGCTGGGGAGATACATTACACTAATTCAGAAGGTTAAGAGGGATGTCAATTTCTTCTTGAAAATAAGGCAGTATCTTGAATAGGATCCAGGCCATTCATTTTGAAAATGATGGCAATTATACACTGTAACAGTGATACTATAAAGATAAATGAGATGCAAATTTGTGCAAGAAATGATGAATTAGTGGGTCACCTGGGGTCACCCTACATTAGCTGGTCTTTAAAGTCACTATATAACTTTGTTAATGTCCTTTTTTGACAAAGAAAAGCTCAGCCTTTAAAAGAAGAACAAGCACAAACCCTTAAAGGTTTATGATGTAACAAGATTTTGTTACAGTGTAAAGTACAAGAAGAGTGTTGGATGTATCATTTATTGTGCATATTTTGACTGTAGGGCAGTTGTTTATCTTACCTGTAGTGGTATCTTCAACATCACCAAGACATACAAAATATTTCTATAATGCAAATAATATCCAACCATGGTAAAAACAACTGTGTTTATATGGGCGGGTGTGGTAACATATGTTCAGTCATTGACAAGGACTAAGTAACATGTGTTCAATGATATTAAGGCTTTATTGCTCATTCTATAAAATGAAAAAAGCAGCTAATATTCACCGCATTTTTTATCTGATTTGTTTTTTATGGAGTTTTGTCACTTTTATATCAGTTTAACCCTTACCCTGCTGGTTCAAAAGGTGATTAGCCTCTGCCACAATTATAGAGCCAGGGCAGCCTGCATCTTCATGAAGTCTGACAAAGCTCTATACTATTGGTGGTCTTTTTGCAGTTTGATACTAAAATCCCTTTCACTTTGAATGGGCTGTTCCAAATTTAAAATACGATGAATTTGTTACACAAATTCAGCAAGTTTAGGGTTAACCTTTTGAATTAAGACATGTAGGCTGGATGAAGAGTTGAAAGTAGGTCAAGGTCATGGTTGCTTAAGTCCATCCAACAACTTAAGAACACTTTGGCCTACAATCCTAAAGATTTAATGTGTAGGTTGATCAGGACTTGTTGATGACCCCAGTTGATTTTGAGGTCACCAGGTCAAAGGTCAAGGTCACAGTGACACTACATTGTATATGTTGAATCCTTGTCCTGTCATTCACTTAAAATGTGTTTGGAATTTAGTATGGACATTGCTTCCAATTATATATTGATTTTGAGGTCAAAGGTCAAGGCCACGTTGACATTTAAAAAGGTAAATTCCATGTCTTATCAATAACTTTAGAAGTAATGAGCTTAAATTTATAAAACTTTGTAGGGACATTGTCTATGGCTTGTTAGAGAGCCTACTTGACTTTGAAGTCATTATAAGGGTCAAGGTCACAGTGACATATAATAATGATAATATTCTTGTTGTGTTTCCTCAGTCATAGATTTGTTAAAACTTAATAGTAAAACAGTTACTGTATTATACAGTGTATATATTACATACTGATACAATACTTCTCATTTATAAAATATGCATGAGTATATAGATATGCCACTATGACGGCAAGTGAAGTGGGGATAATTAAGTGCCCTATGGACACATTTCTAGTTTATATATGAGTTAATAATTGTGCCAAAATTTTTCACTATTCCTTTCATCAGCATGATATGTAATGGTTTTACTTATTTTGTATGAAAATGAACTTATTAGGGAAGATTAAATGATCTGTTTTTTGGCTATATTTATCATTTATAATTAATGTATTGTTCCTTCTTACACAAATTAACGCCTTAATAATTATGATATTTTCACATCATGTAATTACATGTACAAGCTAAAACCATGTTTACTACACACATACAGTAGAAAATCAGCTAGAAAATACAATAGTTTTTGCAGTTTAAGTAATGCACGCTATACATAGTTTCCTTATTTGTCACTTGTTATTGTAGTTAGCATACAGTCAGCTAATTGTATTGTTGTTTTTTTTGCCTCATGTCGTATATTATAACATATAAAGTGACATTTTTACATCAACTACAATTATTAATCATTATAGCTGTATGATAAATCGTCATCTATTGACCATTATTTATATTAACAAGTGTTAACCCTAGCTGACAGTGATCAGCCTTTACCACCAGTGTAGAGCCAGATCAGTCTGCCCTTCTGTGCAGTCTGACCAGGCTCTATGCTGTATTGAAATCTCTAAATTTTTAATGGGCTATTCTAAATCAAAGCAGGACCAATCCCTTACAAGATAATGTTCATCAGCTGGTTAAGGATGAATATGTTGTCCAGATTGTTCTGTACTTGAAAATTCTTTAAAACTTATACATTGATAGTTTGTGACAGCATTAATTTTTCTCCGAAAGGAAGAATATCAGATAAAAGTTAAGATAGTTTTGTGTGAAATTTAGTGAAGTTTTTCTTGAACTTTATTTGAGATTTTATTTACCTACGGTATATAAAATAGACTTTATAAATTATAAATATAGGCCGGTATAGTTCTAAAATGTTTTGTCTTTAATGTCTTGCATATTTGACTGTCCTACATACATGACATTTAATAAGATGAAATTTTAAAAGTCCTTTGTCATTTTGTTTTATAAACAAATCTTTAAATAGACCTTTTACATGACTGTTATTTACATATATAACATGCTTAAGAATGTTTGAAACAATAAGAATGACAGAGAAGACAATTCAGTGGTATTGAAGACAGAGTATCCTCTTGCAGGACTAATTTAAAAGTTTTGTATACCAGTTTTATAACTCTCGCTGAATGGAGCCATTTCCAATATTTGCAACTAATTTGGTTCTGTTTAAAGGCCCATTATGCCTAAAAAAGCAATAATTTTTATTTCTCAGAGGCATTCTATTTTTGGTATCTTGTTACAGTTTAAAATAATATTGAATAATTAAAATAATAGATGGACTATTTTTTAATTCTAATACTCTGTTGGCAAGTTTTATAATTATATTTAATTAGTATTTTGTATGGAAGTCAAAATACTACTTTGTTTACATTTTTCTACCTTTAAGACACATAACGGAATATTTATTGTCCCTTTCTTTACTTGCTAAACATCTTATATGCTTTAAATTCATTACTGAAACATTATCAAACATGTGTTTGACATTTCTTAAGAATAAAAAATATGTATTTCTGAGGAATAATGTGCCTTTAACTGGAGTCTATGTAACTCTTAGCAGAACTGTGAGGTCGTCTTGACCCCTGTGTTGCTCTAAGTTTGTAACTTTGTAACACCCGAGGTAACCCAAAATCATCTTTCCTGTTTTAACGCCATATTACCTATATTTTGTTGATGTTAAGTAAAAAAAAAAAAATCAAAGTATAAAGTCAAAAGTAGCAGGTACACCAGTGGGGTATGAAAAAAAGGCATATGAATGGCTGACACTTAACTACTTTTAGGAATGGCTTTTATTGTTTTTTAAACTATTCATTTATTATATATATATCTTGTATATTTTAGCTGTCAGGGGCTGCCATCCTTGGTGTGGGAGTATGGATGATTGTGGATAAAAACATCGGCAGTTACTTTGATGTCCTCAATATGGACTCTCATGATCAGTTCTTTAAATATGCAGCCTATATCCTGATAGCATTTGGCGTGTTTGTTTTCCTTGTTGGCTTCTGTGGTTGCTGTGGTGCAATCAGGGGAAGTAAATGTCTCCTTGGACTGGTAAGTTGCTGTTGTTTTAGCATGGTTTTTAGCATTATTTTTAGCATAATTTTTTTTTAGCATAAAGTTATTTGTAAAACTAAAACTAGTTAAGTCTTAGAACACTTTTAAAAGCTGCAATGCCTTCAGATGAGCAAAACTGTTTCAAATAATCAACATGTTACACATAAGAAAAGAAAATGTTCACAATTTAAGAAATCATTTACATAATTATGTTACATGTATATATTGTCCAACAACATTGACCTGGCACTCTTGCATTTGACCCTGTAGTCGGTATATTCCGTAACCGTTACGATCTACTTGTAAAGCGATATGAATGTAAATATCCAATTGTTAAAATGATGTTAAATAAAATGCCCTCTTAGCGCAGTTGGTAAAGAGTTTTCACTTGTAGAATGTACACGTAAACTGGTAGGTTCGAATTCTATTTCAGCGATTTATTTTTTATCTTAATTTTGAAATTGCCATTCTCTTTAAACTATTGGAAATCTTTTTATTGTGTGTACTATCTATGTAGAATTTTTAATAAATGTCTTTATAGCATGTATGCGCTTAAGCATATATGATTGCATGTCACAAAAAGAACCGTTGAAAGATACTGTAATGAAATAAAAGACATTATTGTGCATAAAAACACCACTTAAAAAGGTATTCTAAAACCAGGTGTAGTAAAACGATTTCAAATTAATTCTTGCAATTAAATTTCAAAAAAATCATAACGTGGTGTTGGTTAGGTATCGAACCAGAGACCTTCAGATCTGTAGTCCGACATCTTTACCAATACACCACACCTCACTGACGAGTGAAGTTAGCAAAAATATCGATATATTCGATAGGTAATGGTCAATGTTTATTCATATGACCTTTACGAAAATTAATGAAGTGCCAGGTCAATATTGTTGGACAATAATTATGCAAATAAAAACTGATTTTGCAGTATTTATCATCATAGTTCTACTGCATTACTAATGTAGTAAGGGCTCTTTTTGTTGTGCATATTCTGAACCTTTTTTGTAATTTTGCCATTTTCAATGTGTAAATTATACTTTTGTAGTTCATTTGACAATATTTTACACTTTGGTATATTTTAAAATTTTCATGAAAATTAGCATGAATTTGGAGGCATATTACTTTAAGATGTTGTGATTGACTATTGTTTGAAATGACATCTTTTCTAAATTTTTGGGTTCAATTTGATGGCACTTTAATTGTAAAAAACTTTACCAAAATCGATCAGATAATTTGCCTCAGTTGCATATTTATGTTACAGCTCTAGGCTAAAAATTAATTTTAATTCTAAAATTTTTAAGATGTCATCAGTTTCTCATTTGAGCAAGAACTGTGCCATCATTGCTTTCTTGTAAATATGTAATGAGATGCCTTTTTGGCCCATTCATTTGACTTAAACTCAATTGAACCTCACTGCTATGGGTTCAAATCTTCTCAGGATGAAGCTATCCAGCTAGCAGACAGAAGGTGGGTGGTTCTAATTAGGTTCCTGTTTTAAAAAATTAGGCACAAAGGGGCACCAGATGTCTTTCTAATAACCAATTAAGTTGGAAAGTCAATATGTAAAGAGTCAGTGTGCTTTAAAAGCCGACAAAATAAAACCCGATATGTTTCAAGTAAAGAGATGATTTTTGTCATTTAATTATGATAAACTTAGTAAGTAAGTAAGTAAGTAAGTAAGTAACGACTTTATTTAATGAGGCAACACAGTTGGGCAAGCCCAGTCTTCCCTGTGGGCCTCAACTATATACAAAACAATTTACAAAATATAATACATCAATAAAAGATTAAATAATAACACAAGTAGATTTCATTATTATACATCAACACTGACATACTTTAGATCAACCTTGAAAAAAGAAGAAGAAGAAGAGAAAAAAAAATAAAAAAATGAGTTGATATTATATACATGACTTGAAGTTGGATTAAATGTAAACAACAGTTAGTACTGCATTGTTGTACAATTTGATTGGTTTAATATGACTATATTAAACTGTTTTGTTTTCAGTATGTTTTCTTCTTGTTCATCGTTTTTGCTGGAGAATTATGCGCCGGAGTCTTGATGATTGTCTACAAAGTAGAGGTCAGTATTTTAATCATATAGTTCTTCTGTCACTGATAGACGTTACCTGGAACCCGGCAAATTTTCAAAACTGTCCTCAGCAAAAGAAAATAATTTTCATGTTAGAAGGATTTAAGTAGTTCTGCATAATATGTGGTTACAAAGTTTAGCAGAAAAACATAAAATACATATGTGCCGTGTCACGACAAAACCAACATAATGCATTTGCAACCAGCATGGATCCAGACCAGCCTGTGCATCCGTGCAGTCTGATCAGGATCCATGCTGTTCACTTACCAACCCTATTACAAGTAGCAAAACTGATAGCAAACAGCATGGATTCTGATCAGACTGCGCGGATGCTCAGACTGGTCTGGATCCATGCTGGTCGCAAACGTATTACGTTGGTTTTGTTGTGGCGTGGCTCATATTATTTCCTCCACTTTTCAGAGAAAACAAGTGTAGCTATTGTGTCATGACACTCTAAATGGTTTCTGAGAAAATAGAACTTATCATAAAGGCTATTAAAAACCAACAAGAGTCTCTTGTTGATTTTAGATAGCCTTTATGATAAGCTTATTTTCTCAGAAACCATTAAAGCTATTCATGTCAAATTTGGTATACATGTTCATTATCAAAATGCGATGCTATTTCACAAGGGAAACAATTTCTTATGTTATGCCCCCTTTTTGACTTAGATTTCTCTGATAAACCGTTTTATGGAGGTTTGTTTGTCGAAAAACAGATAAAATGAAATCTGGTTTACTATGATTTGACTGTCCTGAATTCAAAGTCAGAAAAAGTCTATTGTACAGATTCAGAATGGTATGGGTTGAATATTATACAAACTGAAACAATAGGTATCATCAATAAATTTGTTTATAAAGCAAGTTTCTTCACAGCAATTAAGACTACACATATACACATGTATATATAAACCATCACCATGTGACTTTAAATGAGCATCTGCGCAGTCTGATCGGGATCCATGCTGTTCGCTTACAAACCCATTATGTTGGTTTTGTCATGACGCGGTTCAAATGTATGTATATATGAAATGTGAATATGCTAATTTCAGATTGAGGATAAGTTGGACACTACATTGACAAATTCTATCAAAGAAAAGTATGGTACAGATAGTGAGACAACTCTCACAGGCTCATGGGACGTCGTTCAAATCCAGGTATGTTTTGATACTGGAATGAAACTTTATAAAGAAGCAAAAAAAAATAGTTTTTTGGAGGGAAATTTATCTTAGTTCCTATGATAATTTTCAATTCTGAATCTTAAGATGCTCTCAATGTGACCTTTATTGGCCATGTGGTCGAGGAAGCTGACTTGGGAGTCATTTGCTCCCTTTGAATCTCTTTAGGGACAGTGGATTCTTTCAGGTGAATAAACTATCCAACTAAACTAGTGAGTCAATGATTCTACATCAGTAAAGTTGGAATGTTGCCATAATGTTTTTTTTTTGTTTTAAAACTATAGTCGTAAATCTTTTTTTTTTTTGTCAGTGATAAAATTGATAAGACAATCATATATTTTTTTTAAAATATAAGGAAGTACATGTACCTTTATCCATAATGTTTTACTTTTATTAATCTGGTAGATGTTGACTAACCTTGATCATTCTCTCTACTTAGTAAAATATATTTGTTTGTGCTTGACATATCTGAAAAAATGTTGGGATTTTGATAAAGGCAAACTTGAATATTTCAGTTGGAATGTTGCGGTGGAGTGGGACCTGAAGACTATGATGGAAGCAAATATGTTGGTGCCAAAACTAGGGTAAAATTTCAAGAACTTTATTCCTTATGTGGCAATCTAGCTGAAATAAATCTATTTAGATAAAAAGTAGCACAGAAGCTAGTTTTCTTAAAAAAAGAAGAACAAAGGAAGTTTAGATTATATCTAGGACAAAAGCTTTTGCTTATAAACCATGAAAGAAAATGTATATGTTGACAAGTGATGGAAGTGTGGTGGTTGTACTCATAGGCCGGCTTGTAGACAGGGGTATGTGATGTATTCCACTGGCTAGAAAGTTGCCATGATGAAACAAATGAAAGGACTGGTTGGTACGGTAAGCAGAATGGGGAGGTTTTCGAAATTCAAGCATTTTTCCGAATGAAAATGAATGATGTTTCAACAAATCTAAATTGGAAGGCTTATACTATAATTTTGTGTATTTAGTTAATATGGAGCCACATTACAGAAATGTTTTGAAAAAAATGAAACTTTTTATCTGCTGAATTTTACACTGCTTTGAACTTGGAACAGTCTGTTCAAAGTTAAAGGGATTTTGATATCAAAATACGAAAATTTACCTGCCAACGATAAGATCCTAGTCAGACTGCATGGTTGTGGCAAAGGCAGATCATTAGTGGTTTCAGCATGTTTAGAACTAAGAAAATATATACATGGTTTCATATATCACTTCATTATATATAATTCAATACAATTTTAATATATTTCAGAATCTGCCACCATCTTGCTGTGTCCTAAGTAACATGAAAGAAGCTGAAGAAGATCCTACCAAAGCTATGCCGAAAAATGACACCAATTGTAAAGATAAGATGGAAGGATACTACCATAATAAGGTGAGATATGGTGAAATTGTAGTTTTTGTGAATATAATTGTAATCATCATCAATTCAATTTATAAATATTATATAGGCTGTTAATAAAAATAATCAAATATTTGAAATTTTCAGAAACATATAAATTTATGATGGGTTAGGTTACAGCTTCATGTTTGAATGGTGATGATGTAAATGAAGGCAGCATGTCTACATATTATTTTATCATATTTTTTTAAAAGACAAATATGTAACAAACATGTAAAAAGGTAGTTTAGTAGTATGGTTGGTGTTTTTGATCATATCTTGGTGGTCAACCTAATCGGTTTTCCCAGTAATTACCAATTTCTGCATCAATGACCAACTACATATACTACATGCAATGCTGATCCAGTGGCGAAAGACCAAATTACCTTAAGACTCAAATGTCCGAAATCACAGAGAAATTTGACCTTGCCCAGGGATCAAACAAGCTGCCTCAAGATTACAAGTCTGATGCTCATGTTATTAAACAAAGCGGGCGGACAATAAGTTTGTTGATAACAGAAAAATTACTTTTAATAAATGAGCCGCGTCATGACAAAAGCAACATAATGGGTTTGCGACCAGCATGGATCCAGACCAGCCTGCGCATCCGCGCAGTCTGATCAGGATCCATGCTGTTCGCTTACAATCTCTATAACAAGTAGAGAAACCGATAGCAAACAGCATGGATCCTGATCAGACTCAAGGATGTGCAGGCTGGTCTGGATCCATGCTGGTCACAAACCCACTATGTTGGTTTTGTCATGACACGGCTCAAATGATAACTAGCAGAGTGTAAGCTGACACATATAAACTAATGGTTTGTTTCAGTGTAATGATTTTAGCCACTTTGTATATATTATGTAGGGCTGTAAGGATGGACTTCTGGACTGGGCTAAGAGTCACACAGCTATTCTAATAGGTGTTGGAATCGGTGTAGCCTGCTTACAGGTAAAACTTTGATTTTTATATTGAATTATAACAGTCAAGCACTCAAAATGTGGAGAGGTATAATAACAAAGAGTGTTTTCGTTATAAAAAAACAAAACAAAGAAAAAACACTTTTTTGCTGGAATTGAAAGTTACTAGCCTTTGACACGAGTATTGAGCCCAACCAGCCTGCACTCTGTGTAGTCTGACCGTGCTCTATACTTTTGGCTGACTTCTTTATTTTCATCTTGATATTCCCAAAATTGATAATGGACAGTTCTAAAAGTGTAAACTGGACAAGTTCATCTTAGAAATTAAGCGGGTTATGAGTAAATCCATTATAACACTTATCCACATTCTTCAAATGAAATAAAATAGGTATAAGAGTCATAATCTAATTCATAAAAATTGGAAGAAAATGAAGGTATGTAAGCCCTTCTGCTGCTGAAACCGAAAGTTATTAGCCTGTGCCACCAGTTTAGAGCCAGGCCATTGGGTACATCTGTGTTGCAGACCAGGCTCTATTCTGTTGATAGCTCAATTTGAATTTCTATTTTGATATAGAAATCCCTGAAACTCTGAATAGACTGTTCCAAAAATCAAATCTGGGCAAATCTGTCACACAATTTAATAAGTGTCTGAATATCCCTGTTAACAATCTCAGCCTAACACCTGATATTTTTCTGATATAGTATCAAGTGATTAACTTTATTTCCTAATAAAATACAAAGAAAATAAAATACAGAGGTGATACCATTAGTAGACTTATCAAAAACTTAATATGATAAGTAAGGGTCAATATTTATCTATAGCAATGAACGTCATGTGAACCTGTGGTTGAAATTCAGCTAAAAAATGCTCGCAAAAAATCTTCATACAATTAAAAAATAGCTGTGTTTTACTTGTTGTATGGTGTCCATGGTGGGGCGTCTTTAAGTGAGTGGTTAAGGTTGTTGTCTTCAAATCACTTACCCTTTACCACTGTGGGTTGGTATCTTGCCAGAGACTTTGGATTATGTCATGTAAGTAAGCTAGCATACTGAGAGTCAGTGGTTTTACTGAAGTGTTTGAAATAATGCACATAGAGGCGTCAGAGTTCTTGGAACCGCCACCAGTAAAGCATTAAAAAGCACTACATGTATATGGCCTTTAAAAAATGTGGATGTAACTAAAAACATCACCAAAAAAGCAACAAGAACAAAAAGACAAAAAAACAAAACACTTTTAAACAGTAAAAAGGAGGAAAGTATGTTTATAACCTGTATTTGTTGATTTCAGATTTTCGGAATAGTGTTTGCTTTGTGCCTGTGTCGTCAAGTTGACAGAGAGGAGAAATATTAGATCACCCAGTTATCGCTGACATTTTACACACTTTTTTCCTATTTGACTCTTATATTAACTGTGGAAATTTGTTATGACTCTTATTAACTGTGTCAATTTGTTTTACCATCTTTCAGTAACAAAATTAAGGTTTTTAAGGATACATTTCGTCCCCTTAGGGCAGTAGCTAGTTAAGACCCTCAAAATTTAATTGGAGTTTAACCAGTTATTGCACTTAGGTGACTATTTATTTGTAGTTATTCCCTTCTTTATGTGATATGAGTTATTTACTTTGTTTAGCTGAAGCACATAATTGTCACCTTAATTTATCAGTTGGAATGTTATCTCAAAGGAAGGTTACACAGAGAAGGAAGAGAAATATTTGAGAAGTTATGGTTTTAAAGGAACATTAATGTTTTGTTTGCTTCCTTGTTAACACATGATTTAATACCAGTGAGTCAGTGTGAGATAAGATATATATTTAGAGAAGTGAAAAATAATTATCTGATTTTTTTAAATGGGAAGGGTTTGTGTTATGTTTAGGAAGGGAGAGAACTCTATGAAGGTTGTATGTATATCATTAATGCCCTTGTCTGTTGAATTTCTTTTACCTCATATACTTACATTGTCAAATAATGTTTTTAACTTTTATCTAGCATTCTGTAACATAGTTTTGTGTATTCTAGTATGATATACTGGGCATTTGGTGTAATCAGTGTTTGCTGACATTATATATTTATATATATATATATTTGTTTATATATATATATTGTATAAGCTGTGATGTCGTAATAGTTTGTTGTTTAAACTTTAATTATGAATTTGATCATCTTTTACCATTAAAAACTGAATAATTCTGCATTTTTGTCGCAGAAACAAAAGCTATCTCTTTAATATTATATATTCTAAAAATTTTATGTCAATTTTGATATTAAGTATAAATAGAACAAAGTAGTACTTATTTTTACATTAATAGAGATCTGGATATTTGACATGTCATAAAATTTATAACCCACAGCTGGTGTTCATTTTAAAGCTGCACACCTCCAGATGAGCTGAAATATTTCAAGAAATTCAGTCAAAAGAAAAATATACTAAGATCTTAGGAATAGGAAAAAGATTCAATATGTAATTATTTACATATTATGTGCAATTAATGACTGATTTTGAAGTATCAATTATTATAATTCTACTGCGTTACTAACATAGTAAGAGGTATTTATGTATATTTAATTTTGGTCACCTCTTGTGGTAATGTACGTGGATTGAAAGTGCCGTTTGCAATGTGTAAATTACTTTCTTTGTTCACTTCACAGTAGTTTACTTTTAAATATATTTTCTAAAATTTCATGAAAATTAGCATGCATCCGGAGGCATGCTGCTTCAAGAGAATTGAAATTCAAAATGGTATATGATCTAGTCATCTAAGTAAAGTATTGTATGATTACATAGTATATAGATCGAGATTGCACTGTAGCCTAAAGTAAAATATTGTTTGTTTACTGCTTCTGAATGAGTGACAAAAAATCTTGCCGGGAAATTATTTTTTGCGGACACAAATTTTATTCGTTTCTTGTGTTTCCATGCCAAATTTGTTTTTTAAGACTCAGCCTTTTTAACAAAAGAATATAAAATAAAATATTGAATTACAAATATGAATGAAGACACATAAGTGTATTGAAATATAATGCTGTTTTGAAATGTACATACTGTTTTTGCATTTTGATCTGTTTTAAATTTTAAATATGTATATGTAAACAATGTCTAAATAAAAGTTTTTGAGAAATAAAAAATGATAGCAAATCTGAAGCATAAAGAGCTTTTTAAAGACAAACAAATGACTACAGACTCAATTGAAAAAAAGTCTAGGTTTAAAGTGTCAAGAAAATGTTTCACAGGTGGCTTGATTTCTTTCTTTTATTAAATTTTTACATCACAACATTCTTTGATTTTTAAGATTTTTATAGAACAAATGTAACTTAGAAATGTAAAGTTTATATTTTGTCTTAGTCAAAGAGCATGACATGAATCCACTGTATTTACATACCTTGATACCTGTTAAAACTTTTCATTGCAACTGGGATATGATATAATGGGATAAACAACTGGAGATTAGCGCCAAAATAACATTTTGTGGAAGCAGACAAACATGCTGCCACCTTGTCATGCTGATCGTTTTTAAAGGTTTATCTCTTTTGGCTGTGGAAACTGAGCATATTTTTTTTTTTTCGTCTATATTGTCTAATCATAGTGTTATAAAAATTTATGAAAGCAATTATATGTTTTAAACAACTTGCTAATCAATTAACAGCTGTCAGTTGGAGAATAAGACCACTTATCCAGTCAGTTTTTGCTTGTCCTGGTATAGTATGTTCCAGTTTGTAACAATACATGTAAAAATTGTAACTAAAAGATGAAAAAGTTACACAGGTAGTCAAAGATTGTGTATACTCAAGAAATAATGTCGAAATAATGATATCGTGTAAGATCAACACAATGTTGGTGTAGGAACTTATATTTTTTTTTTTTGAACAACTTTCAAGTGTTGAGCGATACTCAGATCTTTGCCCATAGCTTCTGCCGGATGGTCAACTTAGATACATAAAGGAAAATAACATTATTTGATTTTAGAAATGATTAGGGTAAGACTGATGAATTGATCTCTCTGTGTTCTTTACTGTTAACATATTTATAACTGTTGATGTAATATATTTATGACTGTTGATTACTGATTATTAACATGTTTTGTTCATTAGAAAATAATATTAATATGCTAATTCTAGTTAATTAATGTTTCCCTGATATTTATTTAATGAAAAAAGTAGAAGTTTTGTAGGGTAATATTTTATTTCACACTGCTTCTATCTTTTTGTTTTGGCAACACACTTGTGCAACATTTCCAGTGTTTTTCAGTTTCTTGAGTATGTCCTTATTTTCAAAAAAAGAATTTAAAAAAGAAGAAGAAAAAAGGGAAGTAAATGAACAACAGCAACTTGCATTTTGAATACATTGGTACTAAGAGCAAAACTGAGTTTATTAATCTTATGTTTTAAAAAAAGAAATATAATGTATGTACAGAAATTCAAAAGCTGAACGTGATTGGTCAAATATTTTGTTCAACTGAATGAGTGCCATACAATGTACAGTTTCACTTCAAGCATGTTCATATACTATACAATCTTACTGTAAATCATGCATGTTCATAACAAAAGACATCACAAATTTGAATATATTTGGGCCCTTTATAGAAGGGCGGAAATGACAGAAATTCTTTTTGATTTTTTGATCGCCCACTTGGGGCCCCTTTGTTTGAATTATTACGCTCTTTTGATTATTTTTTTTATGCCCCCATTTCGAAGAAAAGGGGGTATATTGCTTTGCACTTGTCGGTCCGTCGGTCTGTCGGTCCGTCGGTCCGTCGGTCCGTAGACCAAATGGTTTCCGAGTGATAACTAAAGAACCCTTAGGCCTAGGAACTTCAAACTTGGTATGGTGATTGGTCATGACCAGTAGATGACCCCTATTGATTTTGGGGTCAAGGGGTCAAAGGTCAAGGTCACATTGACCTTGTAAGCAAAAACGGTTTCCGATCAATAACTAAAGAACCTTAAGGCCTAGGAACTTCAAACTTGGTATGGTGATTGGTCATGATCAGTAGATGACCCCTATTGATTTTGGGGTCAAGGGGTCAAAGGTCAAGGTCACATTGACCTTGTAAGCAAAAACGGTTTCCGATCAATAACTAAAGAACTTTAAGGCCTAGGAACTTTAAACTTGGTATGGTGATTGGTCATGATCAGTAGATGAACCCTATTGATTTTGGGGTCAAGGGGTCAAAGGTCAAGGTCACATTGACCTCTTGGGTAAAAACGGTTTCTGATCAATAAGAAAAGAACCCTTAGGCCTAGGAACTTCAAACTTGGTATGGTGATTGGTTATGACCAGCAGATGACCCCTATTGATTTTGGGGTTAAGGGGTCAAAGGTCAAGGTCACATTGACCTTGTAGGTAAAAACGGTTTCCGATCAATAACGAAAGAACCCTTAGGCCTAGGGACTTCAAACTTGATATGGTGATTGGTCATGATCAGTAGATGACCTATTGATTTTGGGGTCAAGGGGTCAAAGGTCAAGGTCACATTGACCTCTTAGGTAAAAACGGTTTCCGATCAATAACTAAAGAACCCTTAGGCCTAGGAACTTCAAACTTGGTATGGTTATTGGTCATGACCAGCAGATGACCCCTATTGATATTGGGGTTAAGGGGTCAAAGGGCAAGGTCACATTGACCTTGTAGGTAAAAATGCTTTCCAATCAAAACCTTAAGAACCCTTAGGCCTAGGAACTTCAAACTTGGTATGGTGATTGGTCATGACCAGCAGATGACCTATTGATTTTGGGGTCAAGGGGTCAAAGGTCAAGGTCACATTGACCTTGTAGGTAAAAAGGGGTTCCGATCAATTAACTAAAAACGCTTAGGCCTAGGAACTTCAAACTTTGTATGATGATTGGTCGTGACCAGTAGATGACCCCTATTGAGTTTTGGGTCAATGGGGTCAAAGGTTAAGGTCATGACCAGTAGATACTTGATAACCCTTATTAATTGTTTGATCACTGGGTCAGAAGTCATGCATAATAACCTTATCACATGACTAATTGGCTGCTGATAGGGGGCATACATGTTTTACAAACATATCTTGTTTAAGTAAAGTCATTACGGTAGTTTGTCCTTTTATCATACGGTATTGCCGTTTCTGATAACACCCTTATTCATTTTCTTTCACTAAGCCTTGGAATATATTTTTATCAACTTTTCCACACAGTTTACTTGTTTATTGAACAATACTGTAATATTTGATATTTAAGTATTATGCTGGAACATGTTTCCTTTGGCGGGGTTTGCCACTGGATGGCATCAAAGACAAGGAGCCACTTGACTCATAATTTGGTCATGTATTCTGTTTGTGTATGGGCCCTAAATAACACAATAAAGAATCAATTTGAGCTTTTCAACGATAGACGAGGACAAAGAGAGCTTTAATTAAATTTGTTTCTAGTGACAATTATTAAAGTTGAGTCAAAGCCCTGCCAGGGGAGCAGTCATTGTAGTCTCTGATATTTTTGTTTATGTGTGTTTATATATCAGAATCTGTTACTCTTTTTTTTATATTATCTCTTGATCATTTTTGCATGATAATTTATGTATTTTTATTGAAAAATTTAAAAGTTAAAATATTCTTAGGCCAGTGTTTAACATAGAATGTTAGTCCTTATGATTGAGAAGCTGTATTTTTGTAAAATAACAATAAATTACAATGGAAAGGCTTTTTTGAGGAGGGGGCGGGTTCTTAAGGTTATATAACTTTTATTCTGAGATCTGTCACAGGATTTATATAAGTCCGTGAACATTTTGTGCTGGTTTTCTTACCAATCAAGTATCTGATTTGAGCTTTGAAAGTTTTGAAATTTGAGCTTTAGTGGTTCAAAAAAGAAGGAACTCTCATTTACTCATGGAATGAGTAGATCTGATTTTTGCATTTTCTTGTATTTTTTTATAAGTCTTTTTAGTTCATTGTTGTCTGTTGGGTGATATTTTTTCTTGTGAACAAACAATGGAGCTTTAAAAGTATTAATTTCTATGTATATTTTAGCTAGATATTGATATTATGTTAGACTGGTATGGGGTTATTTTGTGTGTTTTGTTTAGTATAATGTGCCTTTTTTGTTAGTGTTGGTGCATTTTCTAGTAGATTATTTTATATTTATTTTTCACTTGATTATCAATATTTTCACAAGTTTGACAGCAGAAACAAATTAGAAACACAATATGAATATTATGCCAGTTTTTCTTCATCTAGAGAAATACTGTGCTAATTTTAGTCTTAACTATGGTCACTAAACAAAATAAAAAAATTTATCATATAAGCTTCGATTTCAGTGATGCAAAGTAGCTTCAGGATATTAAGGCAGTGATTCTTTTATTTCTTTGTTCTCAATGACAAAAATACCTATTTCTTCCCCAAATATTATGGTTAAATAAATTTTTAATAAAGTAACATTATGCCCATTTTTCCACTGTCGAGTTAAGCCAAAATTCTTACATATTTTTAAAGACTGATTATAAATATGGAAAAATTTTAATTGACCAATAATTGAAAATGACTTGCATTTAGGATAAAATATCAAAACTGCATAAAATGATATTATAAAAAGACTGCCGCACTCATTTTTATAAAAAAAATTGAAAGATATCAATACATTCAGAGGGATATTTTTAGACAACTGGTTCATGTGGGTTATTGATTATTTATGTTACTGATTGCAATATAAAACTGAAAACAAAGATGACAAAATGAAATGTAATTTTGAATTTTACCTGGACAGTTGCATTTACTCATTGATGAGCATAATGCCACTTTAAATGTAATCTGTCTCACTTGTTGTTAGTTATTATGATAAAGTTTTATACATTTGGAAATGCTTACATTTAGATTTGACCATCTTTTTCATATTCCTTTCTGATTAAACAATTTTTTTTTGATGTCAGAATTTGTAGATCAAATAACCAATATATTTAGTATAAAAAAGCAAACTAATACCCAAAGTACTTATTGTTCATAACAACTCCCAATTTACTAACTAATCTCAGTAACTTACATCTCTAACAGTTTATTATTGCCTGACAATGCTTTATTTATTTGGCTGAATTTTTATATATAAAAAAATTTGTATAGAAAAATACCCTGCATTTTACTATTAAATTTTATTTTTTATTTATGTGTACACCATAAAGCTTTTGTGGAAGTTCAAGTAAAAAACTATAAACAACAAAAACCTCTTGAAAAGTTAAGAGGAAAAAATGGCACTCAAAGAAATATATTTTTTGATACACTATTACTTCTTGTTATCTTGTTTCTTGTGTCCTTTTTTTAAAATTCTAAAACAAAGAAGCTCAGTTGTGAAGTGTTAGTTAAGGCCTACTAGATTATATATTGTTTGTTAGTATTTTGAATGTTGTCTGTTATAATATGGATAGTTTAAATAGAAGTTATTAGTGATTTGTATCTTTTAAACTGTAGAAAAATAAATGTTTCTTAAAAATTTATGTTTCATTTGTTGCTTTATTTAATTGATGATATACATTGAAGAGGTCAATAAAATTATCAATTGGTCCGTCTTGGTTTGTAACACAGGAGTTTCTGGTTCGGTCTTAGGGCATGGTATAATTTTTCTCCATGACATTTAATCTCTGACAATGTTTCTAATGGTATTTGTCTCTCCTTACTGGTTCCGCACAGTCTGATCAGGATCCATGCTGTTTGCTGTCAGTTTCTCTACTTGTTAAGGGTCTGTAAGCGTTTGTAAGTCTTGATGATTGTCTACAAAGTAGAGGTCAGTATTTTAATCATAAAGCGCTTCTGTCACTGATAGACGTAACCTGGAACCCGGTAAATTTTCAAAACTGTCCTCAGCAAAAGAAAATAATTTTCATGTTAGAAGGATTTAATTAGTTCTGCATAATATGATTACAAAGTTTAGCAGAAAATCATAAAATACATATGAGCCAAGTCACGACAAAACCAACACAATGCGTTTGCGACCATCATGGATCCAGACCAGCCTGCGCATCCGAGCAGTCTGATAAGGATCCATGCTGTTCGCTTACCAACCCTATTAAAAGTAGCAAAACTGATAGCGAACAGCATGGATCCTGATCAGACTGCGTGGATGCGCAGGCTGGTCTGGATCCATGCTGGTCGCAAACCCATTATGTTGGTTTTGTCGTGACGCGGCTCATTATAAAGTCAAAGTAAATAAAAAAACAATAAGTTAGGGACCTTGATGAATAAGACATATGTAAAATGCCTTAATGTATTATCAGTCTTTTTGGTAAATTTCTGTATCAAATTTTGATTGTTTAAATTGAAGACCTAAGAAGGGTAACTGTAGACCTAAGAAGGGTAAGTTATGGGGGCAACAATTTTATGCGCTAGTATCTGCTATTTTAAACAAGACATAACCACAAAAATGAAAATACTGATTTTTGTTCGTTTTAAAAATGTGGAATACAACTTGCCTATGAATTCTAGATGCAAATGACTTTTCCACAATAGGTACAGGTAAATGCATGTTAAAAAATTTTTTTCTCTCCATATTTACAATGCAGAAATATTAAGGTATTGGGTTAATTGGGATTAATTTTGATGATCATAATTTCAATACAATTTGACTATTCTATTATTTTAAGGAAAGGGAGAAAAGTCATGAATATTACTAGCAGTCATATGTCAAGAGTTGTTTCCCATTTCATCTTAGTCACCTTTACATTTAAATATCTTTCTGAATGTTTTGTTTGGTTTTTACATCATTCTCAACACACTTTTAGTAATATCTCGGTGGTTGCTCCTATTCAAATGACCAAATACTAATCCTACATGATATAAGAATCAGCACTGAGAGACACATGACAATCTTGATGTATAAATCAATGGCCACAGAGGAATCTCGTCTCATCCGAGGATCAAACCAGTGATTTCGAAGCTTTTTCAAAACCATTCATCATTTTTAGAAAAAAATTCAAAATAAATACAGTAAACTCCACCTTTAATTAACGATATCACATAACAATAAACTGCTCATGACAATGCTGTTGCCGCGGTCCTTAGTATTGTTTTCCAATTGATTGCCTCTCAGATATAATAATATCAGGATATAAAAATATTCCAATAAATCCGGCAGTTCCCCAGGGCCGTTAAAAGCAGAGTTTACAGCACAGTCTGAATAGGGAATAGTGCAGGCCATGATCAGACAGTACAGATGTGCATGCTGATCTTGGTCTGCACCAGTTGCATGGGAAAACTTTGTCACAGCCAGCAGGAAAAGGGTTAAAAAGATTTCATACTTATGAAAAATGGGTATGTTCTTAACTGAAAACATCACGTACAGATATAAATACCTGGCTTTTAAATTGTAAACATGATTGGTGTTTTTTGAACATTTATTCACAATATATTAAAGATACATGTAACATTGTTCACTTACACAATTCTTCTTTCCATACTATTACATATGTTAACCATGTACATGACAATAGAAGAAAGATCTCATAATCCACCAAGAACAGGTTTCATTGACATCAAATTATATTACAGTTTAACTTTATACTTAACAAATATTGTAAGCTAAAAAAATATTGGCAATACTGTTGAATGTTCCCTTATGCCACTTGGCAAAAGTGACAACACAGCTAAAATATGATCAAGTATCAAAAAAGCACTTAAATGTTTAACATTTTTACATCACATAACAAGCATGTGACCATGTCAATTAAAATGAAATAGAAATTTCTATACTGTAATGAAAAAATATTTGAAACCTGAGGACAATTTCTATACTGTAATGAAAAAATATTTGAAACCTGAGGTCAAGAACTACAGTGACAAGATAATAAGAAAAATTCTATGTTCAAGAAAAGATTGGTGCCAGAAATAAGAACCGTGTGACATATAATGTGGCTGATGATAAGGAACATATATTTGAATTTGATGTAGATACTTAAACAAATAAAGAAATCTTGACACATACTCAGGGTGAGTAGAAAGTTCTCCATATACTCATATAAAGTCAAGCAACAAATTAAGTACCACAGTACTAACAGAGACCAGCCTATAACAACTGTACACTTACATACTCATATTTGCATTATTACAACTTCAAAGCAACAAAGATGCATAGTTTTTTTTTCCATTATCATTTCATTCCATTCCAAACATGTTTCCATGGAACTGATGTTGCATTCCATTCTGTTAAAATATTGTTATTTAAAATATTTTCATAATACATGTATAACACTGTTACACTTCTATCACTTCTACCATCATTATGTGTTCCTATAGTGACACTGTTATAATCCATGACATAGCATCCTAGCACAGTAAATTTCTTCTCATCCTAACATCAACATATGTTTCCATAGCAACACTGTAACATCCCATCAAGTACCTGTCTGTAACTTTCTATGGTCCACCTTTTCCAGCTGTACAAGACTAGGTTATTATTAAGGAATCACTTTGTTACAACATAAAACAAGAGTTGTTGTGGCCAAATATGAATACAATATATCATGAAATGAAAAAGTTATGATCAAAGTTAAGGTTTGCAGATGGTAACGGCAACATGCCAGGCAATGGCAACAGGTACGGGAATGCCTCCATGACTATAATAATAACTTTTTTTTTCGAAGAATGAAAAGTTGAGCTAAAAAGGGATCAAACCAGACATTCTATAGTAACCAAGCAACTTGCTCAAGACAATTAAATCGAAGTACAACTTTGCCTTTTCTCTGTTATCTGTATTCAGTGGTGTATTTGTATGATATTAAAAATATAATATCGTTTGAAATGCCTCATTTTTTAGTCCCCAAGACTGGACAAGCACCTGTGGTTCAATAGTAATATTTATTATTAACCTTTGTCGCTTAAATTAATTAATTCATATAAGTCTCTGACGGTTTGAATTTCACAAAGGGGGTTACATTCCTTCTTGAAAGGAAGATATCTGGCAAGTTTACAGATCTATAGTTCCAACTTGAATGCTCACTCAAGCTGCTTAAAATAATTCACTGATATCTTCCACAGTTTGTACAGCTTTGAAGTCGCTATGTGACCTACACAGTGTCAGTCAATTCATTACAAACAAACATTTTAAAGAACATACACAATGTATATTACCATGAAAATCTGATCAGTAACTTGTCATTCCTTGTTAAGGAATCGAAAACATAAAAGACCTGGACAATCTATATATTCAAACATCAATTACATTTTAGTCTTTATTAACAGCATAGGACAGGTATCTTTTACCAAAACTCAGACAAGCAGTAATAACGTGTGTCTGACATGGAGTTATGGGTAGTACTGTGACCATAACATTTTGTCTGGTAGATCTGGAGGCATAAGTTTTCTTAAAGACGTTTTCCGGAGTTTTCATATAGACATATAGGCAAAATTAAAACTGTTCAATAGAATTTCTTTAAACTTGGCATGTTATAAGAATATGATAACAGAAACATATAAAAAATTGAGGTCACTGTTCTCATTTTCGAGATATCTGCCCTTGAATTGGACTTTTTTGTTAAATTCAAGGGCAGATTATTTACAATGAAGTGACCCAATACATTTTCTTTTTCTTATTTTCATGAAGCCTACCTTCTTCTATTCAATATGCAAAATTTCAACAACAAACTTAGAGTGGATAGTTTTTTCCCCACTTCTTCTCTTAACCTGTGCATTTTTTCTTAAAAATTCGCCTATTTTTACCTTTATTTTCATTGACAAAAATTAACAGAAACAATATTACGAATTGCATGTAATTATGTTTTGTATTCAACAATAAAAAGACTAGAAATGTGTCATCATGCCACGGATGCCCCCGCATGCAGCCAAATGTTATAATATTTAGTTCCAAATTTGTTTGCACAAATTATTTTTTTCATTCTAGGTTCAAAGCACTTAAAACTTTTCAATGTTAACACAAACCATTTTTATACAATGTTCAAGGCACTGAAATTATTCAGTCTTAACCTTTTGAAAATAGCATATTGCATATTTGTAGCCAAAATAATGGCTATTTACATTTCCACAAAAGTATGAGTGCTGAAACTGAAAGTTCAAAATTTTTCTAACATTCAGGAAAGATACCGGTAAGTTTGTCCAAAATCATTGAACCACGACCAAATTCAAACTTAAACTGCTTATTCCTAAGATGTATCTATATTATTTTCAAAGTAAAAGGGACATTACTCTGCCAAAAAATCATCGAACCATGACCAAATTCCAACTTGATCTGCGCTTCCTTTGACATATCCATATGTCAATTTTGAGTTGAATATGTAATACTGTTGGGTTGATAATGAACAGAAACTTTAAATTTCATATCATTTTCAAAGTGAAAGGGGCATTACTCTGCCAAAAATCATTGAACCATGACCAAATTCGAACTTGGCCTGGGCATTCCAAAAACATATCCATATGTCAAATTTGAGTTGAATGTGTAATACTGTTGGGGAGGTAATAAACGGAAACTGAAAATTTCATATTATTTTTAAAGTGAAAGGGGCATAACTCTGCCAAAAATCATCGAACCATGACCAAATTTGAACTTGACCTGCGCATTCCTTTGACGTATCCATATGTCAAATTTGAGTTGAATGTGTAATACTGTTGGGGAGATAATAAACGGAAACTGAAAATTTCATATTATTTTCAAAGTAAAAGGGGCATAACTCTGCCATCAGAAAAATCATCAAAAAAACCATGACCAAATTTGACCTTGACCTGTATTTTCTCATGACATATCCATATGGTAAGTTTGTGTTGAATGTGTGGTACCGTTGGGGAGATAATGAACGGAAACTGAAAATTTCATATTATTTTCAAAGTAAAAGGGGCATAACTCTGCCAAAAATCATCGAACCATGACCAATTTCGAACTTGACCTGTATTTTTTCATGACATATTCATATGTCAAATTTGAGTTCAATATGTGCAACGGTTATTAAGATAATGAACGGAAACTGATGATGACGGAAGGACGGAATGACGGAACAGGGTAACATTATATGCCCCTGCCATTATATGGCGGGGGCATAATAACACTATATGCTCCTGCCATTATATGGTGGGGGCATAAAAAACATTTTCCAGAAGTAAACACAAGAATTCATTTATGTCTTTATAAGTTATCTGCCCATTAATTGACCTCAAATAAGTAGAAAATTCTGATTCAAGTGCAGATAACTCAAAAACGAGAACGGTGACCACAATTTATTGTTAGCTTAAAATGTTTCTGTTATCATATTCTATCAACATGCCAAGTTCAAAGAAATTCTATAGAACAGTTTTAATTTTGCCTATAAGTCTATGTGAAAACTCCCGAAAACGTCCTTAAATGGGTTGTTAGTGAATTCATTAAATGTTAACACTAAAACTATAAAAGTGACATTATGCCCATCCAAGGGTAAATGTTGAGTGAACACGCAAAAGTCAAAAAAAATTTACATTTTGCCATAACCCTTATAATTCATTTCGTGCAAACGATAAATAAATCCTGTGGCCTAAGGAAAACTCTGCAAATACCCATTGGAATTCACCTGTAATGTTGAAATTATGAACAGAGTTTGACAGTCTTTTTATATTTTAAGCAGATTTATATTTTATCCTAATCATTCTCGTCATATTGACAATGCAAAAATTAGCATAATTTCACTTTAAATCCAAGATATATTTAAATGTTATAAAGGATACGGCTTCAACTGTTCTGCAAAGTTTTTCATATCTTCACCGATCTGCTCTTGTCCTGTCGGAGCCACAACACTCAGTTCAACGAGACACGACAGTGTAATAGGCTCCAAGTTATTAACATCCCCTGGTTGGTTCATCTAAACAAAACAAACAAATATAGAGAATATCAGAGAATTATATTTAATGGATTTGAAAAATGACAGCAAGCTGTTATGGAGTGGAATAGTATGTGACAACAGAGGGCTAAAACTGTTTAAAGGGAGACACAGGCAAAATTTTCATTTCTTCTTTTTAAATTTTTCATTCATTATTCTTAAAATGTCCTCAAAATAAATACACTAGGCAGTCACAGGAGCAAAACTTTTCTTCTTATAAAGAATAAAATGTCGGTTTCTTAACCTGACCTGCGTGGGTCAGGTTCAAGAGCCTTAAAAGTTTACAAAAGTTGTCACAGTGAACTCTGGAAATGTTAATGAACATGTCAAATGAATTGATTAGACTTGTTTTAATCATGTAATATTCACAATATGTTATTGTAACTTCCACGGTTTGTTCAGGCAACATAACTTGTTTTTAAACTACTCTGCGATTTTGTCCGCTTCTAAATTTTGTTCAACATATGATATATAGATATTTTTATGCTTTAAACCCAAAATATATAGAATTTATACAGAAATTCATGCTGAGATTTTAGAAAAATGTCGTTTTAGCTTGATTTGAGTACATAAAATCATTTTAATATTAATTAATTTTAAGTGCATCAACATTAGCAGATGTACAAGGACAAATATAAAGTCTGAGGGCTTCTGAAATGTTAATGCACAAAAATAGGACTGGTGCATGAAAAAGACATTCTTGAACAAAAGTATAAGTCTGTTTCTGTAATTCCACAGAATATATATCATTTGTATAAAAGAAAACTTGTTTTGTTTAGCTTTTCACCTGGGAGTAGGATGTCATGTGACAATCATGTGTTCATAATGAAATTACTAAGGAGCTATTTTTTATATTTATATAAAGAGCTATCTTTATACGGAGCCTCGAGTCATACTTTTAAGAAAACTTGGCAACAATGGAGCAGGTACGTGTGATTTTATATCTTTATTTGTGCTCTCTTCTCTGTTTATGTATATGCAAGCATAATTATTATTTAAGAACAAATTGATAATTTATTCTTCTCTGAAGAAAATTAAGAAAACAACACAATACTGTTCTTTAAATATAGGAAGTAATATACATGTAGTTTCAGATGTTATTTTTTTTTCTAGTATACTAGTTTTCGGTATGATCCGAACTCAAATCAAAGCAAAACCCTTGTGCATACACCATGTTATAATGCTGATAAATACTCAGATAATGTCCTACATATCATTTGTATGAAATGAAATGAGTTTACCTTAAATAACTTGGACACAGTCACTTTCATTCTGCCTTTATGGAAGAAGTATCCTTTAGCTACAAACTCAAAGTCCATTCTGGAATGAAATAACACCTTTATTAGTACACCACACTGATTCATAAAGAGGAAATATGCAAGTAAGAATTAGTAAGTTGAAACAATATATTCATTATCACACTAATACTCTAACAAGAGTTTGCTCCAACCTTGCTAAAAGACCTATCTTTAAAACTTGGCTTGTGTGGTAATAAAGAGGAAATAAAAATTGGTTTCATTAAATTTCTCAAAATTTGTAAACTCAAGGGCATAAATATTTTTTTCATATAGTTTAACCTAAACTTATTTGTGTGTGACTTTATACTTAGCCTGTAACCTGTTTTTTGTTATGGTAAAAGTCTCAAAAAGATTAATTGAAAGATTTGGCTTTAAATTAGTAACAGCACATGTATAGAGATACCTTATTTGTAAATAACAACGACACAAGTTACCTATTATGCTCATTAAGGTTCTCTTAAAATCATTTATGGGTCACTTGAATAAAATGTACAGTCTAGTATACTTCATGTTTTTCAACTGTGAAACACACAAGGCAGTTTAGTGCATAATTACGTATACATTCTAAAATGGCCAGCATTTTTCCCTATTGAACATAGAAGGAGGGAAAGTGTGTGTTATTATGCAATAAAATCACTGCTGACATTCTATATTTAGACATGTGACGTAACCATTAGACATGTGACATAACCATTAAAAATGCAACACGCTGAAAATAAGTACGGAAATTAATCAGGCGCTATTAAGCTGGATATCAGGTATGGCAGCATTTATTTCTTGATGTCCTGTTAGAATCGAAATGATATATCCAAATCAGTTATTTTATCGCTGGATAACATCACTGTTTGTCATGCGGATGCGCATTATTATATTCTACTCCAAACAGTGATTTTATTAAGCAATAAAGCCACTGTTTGGGATATATTATTTCTAAATATATCATCACTTAGTGCAGTTATTGGTTAACTCCTTAAACAACTTAATGTCAGTTAACCCATTTCTGCACTAAGGTGATGATATGCACCGCATTAAAAATAGAATGCTTATATGTCATATGACATTAGATGTGATGTTAATAAACTAAATGACACCAGACTTCTTCTCTGCTCAATGTAGTTCAACATAACTCTTTTTTTAATGGCATTTTAGAATGAAAATAGATATAATTTGGCATTGTATTATTAAAATGCACGGTTGAGTATCATTCAAAGGCTTCATTATTAATCACGCAGGACTTTCTTCGTGATTATATTCCTGTGCATTTGAACTGGAACAGTGTATTTTACTACAACAACGCACACAAAAATTGATAGCTACATATGAAAGGTACAGTGTACTTACTTAAAGCCTATTTCATTGAGGTATTTAACTATGGACTCCGACACTCCCATGTCAACACAAGACCGACACAAAGCATGACGACTTTTATCTCCCATCTCAGCATTACCCACATACCGTAAATGCCTATAACACAAATATTATATCAACATTATTCATAATAGTAATACCAGCCAGTGATTTTTCACCTTGTATGATAGAGGCCTATAAAAGGCCTCTCCAAATAGAAATTTTCTATAAAATCATGCAGTTTTTCATACACCAGCTTTTCTACCTCCCAATTATGCAATTTCAACAACAATTCTTCCCAAAATGAAGAGGCTAAAGCCTCTTCCTAATTAAGTCAGAATAACCACTGTCAGCATATCATAAATGCCTGTAACATAAAATTGAGTCGTGTCAGGACAAAACCAACGCTATGTGTTTGCGACCAGCATGGATCCAGACCAGTCTGCCCATCCACGCAGTCTGATCAGGATCCATGCTGTTCACTATCAGTTTTTCTACTTGTAATAAGGTTTGTAAGTGAACAGCATGGATCCTGATCAGACTGCAGGGATGAGCAGGCTGGTCAAGATCCATGCTGGTCACAAACGCACTATGTTGGTTTTGTCGTGACGCGGCTCAAATTATATTTCAATATCATCAATTAATCTTAACTAGGTGTTTATCATTCTCTAACTCCGATCCTCTGGTCACAAACAAGGCTTTAAAAAGAAGGGGTTTGTACGAATACATGTACATGTATATATGGGAAAAAAAGATCATCAAGGCAAAAGTAGAACTGACATGTATCCATGATATCAGGACAATGTTTTTACCCAAGAATTTTTTTTATAACATACCAAATAAAGTTAACCCTATTTCAAACAACTTAATCGAATTTTCCTAATTTCCTCCAGGAATTCTATTTCAGGTACTAGTGTGTGTATATATTTAAAGTTTATGGTGATTAAATTATTACAATATCAGGAGACATCAAAGTGGAACTTACCAACATTCAGTTTCCATTAAAGAATGACGGAGATGTACTGTTACAGGCTGTTGTTGCTGATTACCCTCTAGGAAAAAAAAAACAAATCAAGTTATCTACATTGTCAAATAATTATAAAAGTAAAAAAGTTAATTCTTTGAGAATATTGTTTGTTGATACTGTTTGTGCATCTATTCGATATTCAAATCATCACAATCAATTCAAGATGACAGCTTGTTTAAAACCCAGAATAGAATATAGATGTGTCTCAGTAAACTGGTGCAGAAAGTCAACAAGATGGTTCCTTTTTGAAATCAGTGTCCTCACACTGTGTAAGTGTCTTCACATTGTGTTAATGTCCTTACATTGCATAAGTGTCCCTATATTTCCCTTACATTGTGTAAGTGTCCTTACATTGTCTAAATGTCCTTATATTGTATCATGAGAAGAATGTGTCACTTAAAAATCAAAACAAATCTGGAATCTACGTCTAAATTTAGTAAAATTGAGTTTAGAGCAGTCAATTTCAACTTTAAGGCATTTCAATATCGAAAGACTGATTTCCTGTGCTTCCGGCAAAGGCTGACTTCTGTCACTTCTGGCAAAGACTGATTTCTGTCAGTTACAGCACATTAAGGGCTATGGCTATACTAAGATTTAAATTTGTACTTACTCATATGGAAGACCATTTCATGGTCTAGGAATGTTTCTGGAGGAGAATCAGCATTGTCACACAGACCTCTCAGTCTGTTGATAAGATAATCCTTGGACGTATCAACAATACTACCTTGTAACAGGTGCTCTTGAAGAGGTGCAATACCTGAATGTATACATGTAAAATGATGAAAAGGCCATATGTTTCCTCAATAATTTTTTCAAGTAATGCTATGCTTTAATGGAAAATAAAAACAAAAACTTTCTTGAAACAGATGCTCTATAGAAATTACTGTTAAATATTGAAACACCAGACATGAAACATGTTCTCTAAAGGTGAGTTATCTTAAAGCACAGATTTTGCATTAAAAAAATGTTACATTTGTATATTAAATTTAACTGTGAAATATTAATCAATCAATGAAATAAGAACATACATGTATATCACACTGTTTAAAACCAATGAAATAATACATTATGGTCTTGAGCATAACATTCTATTATGGAAAGATAAAACATAAATATAGTAAAATACATAAAGATTCAATTTATTATCAACATGATCAAATTACAAAGCATCTTGTGGCATGATTATTGGTACTGTCACAACAGTTTTGATGCAAAATGGTCAAATATAGAATAAAATATATGTCCTACTGATTATTTGTAATTCATTTCATCTCATGAACACCAGGTATTAGCTTGTATAAGGCATTGCATACTAAGAAGTCTCTTCTATGGCGTGTAGTGGTCAGAGCTGCATTACTGGTACTGGTACTGCAGTACGTACTGCAGCGATTTTGCGAGTACTGGTACTGATACTGAGTTACTCTTACAAAATTTTGCTACTACTGGTACTGGTACTGCATTACTGTCTTAAAAAGTGGTACTGCTACTGCATTACTAGGCAGTACTTCTGATTTTGATAAAATTAGTATCAATTTTTCTCATAAAATAAAGCTGTAAATTACATTATTTTACTTTTGTGAAAAAGTAAGTTATCAAATCTATAGATAATTTGCTGCAATATTCCTTCAAATGTTAACATAAAAGCACCAAAGACTTTTAAAGTGACATAATGCCCATTCAAGGGTATATAGTGAGTAACCAGGTGACAGTCAAAGTAAGCTTTTAAATTGCCATATTTTCTTTTAATTTAAAAATTTACTTCACAAAAAACAATAAATAATCCCCGGATCCAAACGAAATTTCTATAAAGATCAATTAGAATTTACCTGTAACGTTCAGTTGATAAAAAGAGTCGGGCAGTCTTTTTATATTTGAGGCAGATTTTAAATTTTATCCTAAACATTTTCATATATAAACCGTTGGTCAAACACCCTTTTAACAGCCAATCTTTTGAAATATAAAGTCAGTTCAGCTCATCTTGACTATGAAAATATGAGCATAATGTCACATTAAGTAAAAATTAAATTGAGATAAACAGACTCAATAACTCTTTACCCTAAAATATCCTTATAAAAATATTTTATTACTTTGTATTTACTGGTAAAAGAGCAAAATAATCACTAATTTATTGCTTCTATTCTATATAATCCTACTTCAAGTGATGTTGTTAGCACCATAAAAAGTTGTTATTTACTGTTGTATAAATTGAACAGAGGTGTGAAGGTGTGAAAGGCAACAAAAGACTGTTGTGTTTTAAATGAAAGATGATTGCATTGTATTACAGTTGACTGGTTACTAAACAATAAGATATGACATAAATATATATGTTGTAAATAGTGTTGGTAAAAAATATGTTAAAAGTATAAAGTTGTAAAAATGTTATGTTAACTTTAAAAAAAAATTATAATTTTATTTCTTTGCTGAATAGTATTTGCAATTATTTGTTTGACACTGTGTATTTATTCAAATTTTGATGAATATAATATAAAAGTAATGGTACTGATACTTAATTACTTCACCAAAAAAAGTACTGGTACTGCAGTACCAAGCTAAAATCTAGTACTGGTACTGGTAATGGTAATGCATAATTTGCCAAGTACTGGTACTGGTACTTAAGTACTACACCCTTAGTACTGATGCAGCTCTGGTGCTTCACCATCATTATATGAGCCGTGTCATGACAAAACCAACATTATAAGTGCGTTTGCGACCAGCATGGATCCAGACCAGCCTGCAAATCCGTGAAGTCTGATCAGGATCCATGCAGTTCCCTATCAGTTTCTCTACTTGTAATAGAGTTGGTAAGCGAACAGCATGGATCCTGATCAGACTGCACGGACGCGCAGGCTGGTCTGGATCCATGCTGGTCGCAAACCCATTATGTTGGTTTTGTCGTGACACGGCTCATATAGATGAGATACAGGTTTTTTTTTCTCAAGATTTTGGGAACATGACCCATACCCATGGAATATTGTGAATTTCAGCCATGTTTTGTTAGACATTGGGAAAAAATGCACATGACTGAAATTTTGCAGTGATTACATGAATGCAAACAATCACTATCTTGGATGGCATCTTCAACATTTTTATCACTATAACAGTGAATCTAGGAGCTCTTATTTTCAAAGATTATATAAATTTTTATTCAATATTCTATATTTATGTTCGCTTCCTGGAACCAACCGGTACATACTACTGGTATCATATGAACAAACATGGTTATCATCAGACCCAAGCAGGGCTAGACCGAACAGTCCCTGTCCCAGGGTTGAGAGGCAGTCAACTTAACCATAAGGCCAACACTCCCTTTTATATGGTCATTAGGTTAATAAGGCACCTAACATTAGAATGTTCTCATCAGCATGGTATATTAAAAAAAAAATTCTAGTCAAAAAATCACTGAATACTCACAAAGTCAGTTAAAATTGTTTAGTAACAGAACTCTCTAGCAGCCACTCAAAACTTATTTTAATTGATTTATATGCACTTATATTCATTTTCTTGGAATATCATGTTATAAATTTCTGAGAAAGATTGGAACTTTGATAATGCATGCATAAAACAATTAAAACTGTTACCATGCTAAATCATAATCTTAAATGTAATTGTGCATTGTTCAAGCGAGACAAAACCATTATCATTTTTATTGAAAATTTTAAAATTTTACTGCATGTATGAATAGTGCATACCAAGATCAGTCGATACAGTAACTGCACTGATTACATTGTTGATACCAGTTGCCACAGGCACTGAGGTTAGGATTAAACAAATTCTGATACTATTAACAATTAAAAAGTAATACAATGTAACATGTAACAAAATGTCATCAGCTGTTCCATAAACTTCCAAGAAAATTTGTAAAACTCAATTAAAGTCCCAGTACCATCTGGTGTTTATGTCTAGACAATCACAAATGTTTCATTCATGCCATCTGATTATTGTTCTCTATTCATCCAAAACACATTATTTTAAACTGTGCTGTAAGACTGCTGGTAAAATTTAAGTTCATCATTTCATGTGTACCAGCACATCAATATTTTAGAAAAACATTCTCAATTTTTGTGTAACTGTTAATGTTAAAATAAAACAAAAATATGAAAGTTTACATTCTATTAAAAAAATTATTTATAAAGTTATTTTTTATTCCACATTCTTGATAAAGAAGCTTTATTATGAGTATGTACATAATCACCATTGTATTAATTACATTAAATATATCATTTTTATAATTTACATTATAAATCTATGATTCCATCCTTTACTTTAAATCTATCTTTACACAATACATGTATACATTAAATCTATCATTATACAATTTACATTAAATCTATCATTATACTGTTAACATTAAATCTATCATTTCACCACTTACATTAAATCCATCATTTTATGATATCATTTTACCCTTTGCATTATAACAGGCTGGTGAAATTTAATGCCGATCTGGCTTATGACATAAAAAATCATATTTCTCAAAATATAATAAAGAGTTTTCCTTTTAAACTTTGTTTGTTTATTTACATAAACAGAAAGAAAAAAATTTGGTTACTGTCACTTTTGTGAGAATTATCTCCCTTTTTTCATGTTTAAATAACACATAATTTTTTAAATAATTGAAAAATATGTTACATATACAAAATATAAAACAAAATAGGTTAAATAACTTCTTTATGCTCTAATTCATTGCGCCAACACCTGTCAGCATGCATTTCATTCAGCTTTCAAAGAAAACTTCAAAGTATATTGTTCAGTGTCAAAAAAATGTCAAAGTATTTATGCCAGAAACAGAATATTAAATCAAAACATAAAGAATAAAGGTACTGGCGCAATAATTTTGAGCAGAATGAAGTTGTTGGACACACTTCTGGGACTTCAAAAATTATGTGTCACATAAACATGAAAAAGAGAAAGTAATTCTCACAAAAGTGACAGTAACCAAATAATTTTCTTTCTGTTTCTGTTATATATTATGCCAAATAAACAAACAATGTTTAAAAGAAATATCTTATCTTATTATTTTTCCAGAAATATGATTTTCTATCTCATAAGCCCGATAGGGCATTTTCACCAGCCTGTCATAATATAGATCTGTCATTCATTGTACAGGTAACATTAAATCTATCATTGTACTGTATACATTAAATTTATCATTGTACTATTTACATTAAATATAATTGTACTGTACTGTTTACAATGAATTTATCATTGAACAGTTTACATTAGATTTTTATTACAGTTTACATTAGATTTTATATTTTTTTGTACTGTTTAAACGTAATTTTTTATTGTACTGTACAGTTTACATTTAATTTATCATTATACTGTTTACATTCAATTTATCATTATACTGTACTGTTAACATTGAATTTTATCATTGTACTGTTTACATTGAATTTTATCATTGTACTGTTCACATTAAATCTATCATTGAACTGTTTACATTTAATTTATCATTGTATTGTTTACATTAAATTTATTATCGTACTGTATACATTAAATTTATCATTGTACTTTTAACATTAAATTTATCATTGTACTGTTCACATTAAATCTATCATTGAACTGTTTACATTAAATTTATTATTGTACTGTTTACATTAAATCTATTATTGTACTGTACTAACAGTTTACATTTAATTTGTCATTGTACTCACAGTTTATATTAAACTTATCATTGTACTGTTCACATTAAATCTATCATTGAACTATTTACATTTAATCTATAATTGTACTGTATACATTAAATGTATCATTGTACTGTTTTTTACATTAAATCTATCATTGTGCTGTACTGTTTAGTGTTTACATTAAATTTTGATCATCTTATTATTTACATTAAATATATCATTGTACTGTTTACATTAAATCTATCATTGTACTGTTTACATTAAATCTATCATTGTACTGTTTACATTTAATTTATCATTGTACTGTTTACAGTTAATTAATCATTGTACTGTTCACATTAAATCTTTCACTGTACTGTACTGTTTACATTAAATTTATCATTTTACTGTTAACATATATTTATCACTGTACTGTTCACATTTAATCTATCATTGTACTGTTTACATGAAATTTATTATTGTACTGTTTACATTAAATTTATTATTGTACTGTTTACATTAAATCTTTCACTGTACTGTTTACATAAAATTTATCATTTTACTGTTTACATTAAATCTATCATTGTACTGTTTACATTAAATATATCATTGTACTGTTACATTAAATCTGTTATTGTACTGTGGTGGTGTTGGTAGTTTACCATCTGGATCATTGTGGTAATTAAGCCATGGTGAAATCAACAGAGGTCAGTTCAGCTACAGCATCATTCCTGGGCATAATGTCATGCAGTTAACCAGTACCAAGTTGCCTTCACTTTGGCAAAGAACTGATAACTTTTGTACATGCCAGGGCAAAGGTGTACTGTACGAATGACTATGAATGTACATGTATGACAAATTCAATCAGTTTGGGAGGGATATAGTGAAGAGTTAAATCTGATTGTCTCTGAAGGGCAGGACCTTTACCAGTGGGGGGAGGGGAATCAAAATACAAAGTCCCCATTATTCCCCAAAGAGTGGGGTCCAGGATTAAAATTGTCTCGGTGAATAATCTCAATATCATAGAATAACAGATATCATAATTTGGTTGGCAACACCTATCCCCAAACATAGGCTCAAAAAATTCATTTGGACATTATATTAGTTTCTTAGTAATAAATTCTTTAACTCCCTAAACTTATCACCTTACAAACTTTCAAGAACAAATATCTTGAAATGCAAGGAAATGAAAATAATCAGAATATAAGTCAGTAAGGTAAGACTAGAAACAAAGTTAAGCAGGTATCATGCAAAGCACTGTTAATGTTGAAATAATAATAATTTAGTTAGATTCATTATATGGATTAAACTCATGTATTAAGATAATTATTTTTACCTCCTTTCAAAGCCTGGTGTAAAGATGGTTCAAGGTTCATTTTCAAGTTTTCATAAATGGTTCTCTATCTCCTTTTCTGTAAAACATTCAGAAAATGTCATCTTTAACTTAACAACAGAAATGAAGATCGCAAACTGGTTCTTAAAAAAAAAACAACAAACAAACAAAAAACAATCTTAAACTGCCTTCCAATACACCCATTGACGGTCTCTATATGAACTACGTAAATAAACGAGGTATATTGAGTGAAAAAACACAATTTGTTTCCCTTATCTTCGAGTAAAATTGATATCTCTAATGCTAAAACAACAAGGTATATCGAGTGAAAAACACAAGTTCTTTCCCTTATCTTCAAGTAAAATCGATATCTCTAATGCTTGAACAATGCAAATTTAGCCGTTTTTAAACCGCCAGTTTGGGGCGATTTAATGTCCGGTTTTTAAATTTATTACACCAATTAAAGCTTAAGAGCTTAGCTTCGTCCAAGTATATATTTCAACACATTGTTTGACAAATTTACGGTTAAACCTTTTAAAGCTACAACAAGACAGACCATTTTACATAGGTTTTATACAGTAAGATACGCAATCGGTTATCTTTACTCTCAATTGTACTAATACGGGGAAGTCAAAGAACGGAAAGAATGAAAGGATTTTTTTAACGACTTCCCCGTTTATAGGCTTTGCCTAATTTCATATTAAGAATAGCCTGTCGTCTGCTAGTTTGGAAACTGTCAATCCGTGTATTTTTTTGGAAAAAAGACCAGACTTGGCTAGTCCAATAAATATATTGGATATTGATATGTTGATATAAACAACATTTAATTTTACATGATTACACTTTGTATTGGCACCCCTTGTTTTAAAATATCCCCCCTATTGCTTTTTAATCAGGGCCTGGGTGGGATTTCCGCCCATATTTTTAAATTTCTAGAATAGACACCGAAACATAAGTCTTTGTCTATAATAATTATCATGGAACTAAGAAATTATATCATATTTTATCATCATACATATTGTGAAAAGTAGTAAAAGGAGAAATTAATTTTTTTCCTTATTTTTGTAAGGAAAGTCAAAGTAGTTCTTATTGCCAAAGTAAGAAAAACAAATTGGGAAATTGATGGGGCGAATCGTAAAAGGTTCGAATAGTTTGTGTATCAAATCGTTTAAATCATATAAACATAAATATAAAACAAAAGTTACCTAAATTCAATGACACAAATTAATTATTAAAACCAACATGTAATTGAAAGACCTATTCCATGTAATCTCTTCTTTTTTAAAGCCGATGTTTAATGGTTTAATTCATGTATCCGCTTCGTTCGAAAACTTTTAAAGCGGTGCGCATGTAAATTTTCAAATATTGTGAAAATAAAGTGGATAAAGGAGCAGAAGAAAGATCATTCTCATAAGTTTTCAATAAAAGTTTACTGTTCTTCAGTTTAGCAGGTATTAAATAAATGTTTATTTTCATTCAGAGAATAATATTAAATATCAACGACATAAACTCGAACAGAAAACTAATGAAAATAATTTGACATCTGTTTTCGCGAAGTCTTAGAGAATTGTTGCTAAATAACAAACAAAATCTATAATAAATTTAATCCATATAACTTTATTTATTTTAATATACACAACTTTTAAATGTATTTAATGGTCTGTTCTATTCAATTTCTTTATACAAGTCCTTGGACAAATTCATAAAAATGGCTTTCATAAACAGATTCAAATTTGTAGGTTCCAAATGTGTTTGAAGCTTGATTATGTGATAGTAGTTCTTATCACTTCTTATTAGTTCTTAGTATGCTACGGATATGAATGTTTTTCGGCGCTAGGTGTATAGTAGTCCTATAAATATGGCTTTGCTTTGAGAAAGATTTACTTCTTGGTTTTATCATAAACTGTAACAAGCCAGTATGCCTAACGTCCTAAATATTGGAGGGCAATCAGGATGTTTATGCCAAAAACCGAATTGGCCCCAGTGCAAATATTGGCCCAAAAATGTTAAGGCCCTTTCCTGTGAGACGATTCAACAATTCTATGATATTTAAAAAGGAATGTTATCATTTTACAGGGATTTTTTTGGCTTATTTTAGCTGTTATCTGGTCATATTCTCAATTGAAAATAGTATATTATTTTCCCAATCCACAGGAAAAAAAATCCCAATTGAAAGTTACAAAATAAAAATATTGAATAAAAATTCTTAAATCTTTGAAAATAAGAGCTTCTTCACTGTAAAATTTCAGTCATGCATTTTTTCCAACTTTTAACAAAACACCGCTGAAATTCCCAATTCCATGGGTATGGGTCATGTTCTCAAAATCCTGGAAAAAAACCCTGTTTTATAAATATTTAAGTTTTTCAATATCAAAAATTATATATCATTATAAACGGTAGCTGAACAATCCGAACAACGAATTTAATCATCAGTTAACTGAAAAATCAAAAAAGGAAAGGGGGGGGGGACCTTCCGAAAGGGGCCCCCAATTTTTTTGGGAAATGGGGCTTTTGGGCGAAAAAATTATACTGTTGGAAAAAGGCGTAAAATGAAACAAACAAACAAACAAACAAATATTAGCTTTTGATGTGTCTATCAACATTTATTCATTTTTGGGTTTGTACATATTTAACAAGTCTTTATCTTGCTTAGAAAAAGAAAAAAAGAATATGACCCACTCATTTATGACCCACTCATTCCCAGGATTATTACAACCTAAATTCAAGCAGCAGGTATACAACAATGAAGAATTTGTTTAAATTATGTCAATGCTACTAAAAGTTGTAGAGAATTTCACAACAGTCTATTCAACGATTTTCAACAGTTTTTAAGTTTAATTAAAAAAAAACTAACACTAAATGATATAAGATATGTACACAGTGTTTTTTTCACCAAATTATTCGACGAAATTCGGCCCCATTCCCCCCTCAAATTAGTATTTTTTTCCCCTCTCAAAGCCGAAATTTCCCACTATAATAATATATGGCAGCCCGAATGTGCCTGCAGTGGATATCATTTTTTAGCTCACCTGTCACAAAGTGACAGGGTGAGCTTTTGTGATCACTTTTCGTCCAGCGTCCGTCCGTCGTCCGTCCGTCCGTCGTCCGTCCGTCCGTCGTCCGTCCGTCCGTAAACTTTGCTTTAAATGACATCTCCTCATAAACCACTGAGCCAATTTCATCCAAACTTCACAGGAATGTTCCTTTGGTGGTCACCTTTAAAAATTGTTCAAAGAATTTAATTCCATGCAGAACTCTGGTTGCCATGGCAACCAAAAGAAAAAACTTTAAATATCTTCTTTTAAAAAAACATAAGAGCTAGAGCTTAGATATTTGGCATGAAACATCTTCTAGTGAGTGTCTACCAAGTTTGTTCAAATAAAAGCCCTGGGGTCAAAATTGGCCCCGCCCCGGGGGGGGGGGGGTCATTGATTTTCCCTATATGCATATAGTAAAAACTTAAAAAATCTTCTTTTAAAGAACCCAAAGAGCTAGAGCTAAGATATTTAGCATGAAACATGTTCTAATGGGAGTCTACCAAGTTTGTTCAAATAAAAGCCCTGGGGTCAAAATTGGCCCGCCCCTGGGTGTCATTGATTTTCCCTATATGCACATAGTAAAAACTTAAAAAATCTTCTTTTAAAGAACCGTAAGAGCTAGAGCTTAGATATTTGGCATGAAACATCTTCTAGTGAATGTCAACCAAGTTTGTTCAAATAAAAGCCCTGGGGTCAAAATTGGCCCCGCCCCAGGGGGTCATTGATTTTCCCTATATGCATATAGTAAATACTTAAAAATCTTCTTTTAAAGAACCCAAAGAGCTAGAGCTAAGATATTAAGCATGAAACATCTTCTAGTGAGTGTCTACCAAGTTTGTTCAAATTAAAGCCCTGGGGTCAAAATTGGCCCCGCCCCGGGGGTCATTGATTTTCCCTATATGCGTATAGTAAAAACTTAAAAAATCTTCTTTTAAAGAACCATAAGAGCTAGAGCTTAGATATTTGGCATGAAACATCTTCTAGTGAATGTCTACCAAGTTTGTTCAAATAAAAGCCCTGGGGTCAAAATTGACCCCGCCCCAGGGGTCATAGATTTTCCCTATATGCATATAGTAAAAACTTAAAAAATCTTCTTTTAAAGAACCCAAAGAGCTAGAGCTAAGATATTTAGCATGAAACATCTTCTAATGAGTGTCTACCAAGTTTGTTCAAATAAAAGCCCTGGGGTCAAAATTGGCCCCGCCCCAGGGGGTCATTGATTTTCCCTATATGCATATAGTAAAAACTTAAAAAATCTTCTTTTAAAGAACTCAAAGAGCTAGAGCTAAGATATTTAGCATGAAACATGTTCTAATGGGTGTCTACCAAGTATGTTCAAATAAAAGCCCTGGGGTCAAAACTGGCCCCGCCCGGGGGGGGTCATTGATTTTCCTTATATGTGCTATAGCAAAAACTTAAAAATCTTCTTTGGAAAAACCCAAATAGCTAGAGTTTAGATATTAAGCATGAAACATCTTTAAGTAAATATCTACAAAGTTTGTTAAAATAAACGCCCGGTGGGTCAAAACTGGCCCTGCCCCAGGGTGTCATTGTTTTTAACTATATGTGTATAGTAAAACTTTAAAAATCTTCTTTTAAAAAAGCCAATGAGCTAGAACTTAGATGTTTAGCATGAAACATCTTCTTATGGGTGTCTACCAAGTCTGTTCAAATAAACAAATAAAAGCCCTTGGGTAAAAATTGACCCGGGGGTGGGGGGGCCTATATACAGGTGAGCGACCTCAGGGCCATCATGGCCCTCTTGTTTTTTTTGCAACTTACTGCCGAATAAATGTTTTATTTTATGCCTGTAACACTAACTGTAAAGCAAGGTTGTTTACAAATCGTTCTCAGGTAGGTAAGGGGAGCTTAGTAACTCCCGGTGTCCCAACAAGTTTGACATGCGACGCATCAATATTTTAGATCCGCATATTAAGAGACAGCAATGTATTTTAAACTTGTGTTGCAAGAGTTCCTCCCCTTTTCTACCAGAAAGAAAACAATATAAAATAAATAAACAAATAAAATTCCCCCTCCTATTGCATTTGTATGGCTACTGTTCATGTGTACAGAAAGGACAGTTGAAGATGTCACTTTTTAGTACTCTAATTTTGGTGCAAAATTGATTTTCCTTTTATGTATATAAAAAAAAAAAAAAAAGTCTTCTTCTATTATACTACAGAGTCTTTAGCTTAGATATTTGGTATGAAACAATGTCTTTACAAATATTGTTGAAATTAAAGCCCCCGGGTCAAAATTGCCTGGGTAAGTAAAAATTAAAAAAAAAATCTTCTCTAAATCTACAAGAGCTAAAGCTTAGTTTCCATAGCAACCAGTGACTTCATAGCAACCATTGACTTTTCATAGTAAACTGTAAGTTTTCATAGCAACCAGCAAACATTAACTTTCCATAGCAACAAGTGAATCAACCATTGAATTTCATTATTAAGCAGCACTTGAACTTCCAAGGGAACCATTTATTTTGTATAGCAAACAGTTTCAATTTTTATGGAACTGTTGTTCTCCTTAGCAGTAGCAACCATTTAAGTTTTTACTCATACACTATTTCAGATACAAATATGAACTCTGTGATTTAAGTTTAATTAAGATTTTATTTCTGCATCATTCATACCAGTAGTTTACAATATTACTTGTTCCTTGTCATGGAAATATTCATATTTAGGTTAGCGATATCAGGGCCATCATGGCCCTCTTGTTTATTTTAGGGTCATTCTATTACAAAATCATACTATTCTTTGTTTGCTAATTAGTTGTGTGTTTTTTTCCTGCAGATTTTAATAGCAAAATGCATGTATTTTTAAAATAGTTGAATGGCGGAGTGTTATAATGAAAATTACTAAAAAACTGAATTTTGATCAGCAAAGCATTTGGACATAAATTAAGGACTTACTGTTTTCACGCAAAATGCTAAACTAAGTACATTACATTACATGTAAGTAATCAGTTGACTTTCTTTTCTGCATACATGTAATGTATTGTCAAATACGCCATTGTTCCTCTTTACTAACACAAAACTTTTAATTTACTTACATGTGCTAGAGAAATAGATTTCAGCATGTCAATCATGTAAGTGTTACAGAAAAATTAATATTTTTTGAAATTTTATTACAGTTATAGAAATAGTAGTTTGATACTTTCATTGGTAGTTTTGCATGTAGCATTGTCAAGTTAACCTATACTAATGTTACATGAATAGTTACTCTATTGTCTTGAAGGCTTTGCCTCAATGTGACCATTGCCTTCAGCATTGAAGAATTATGTCTTTCTCTTAGGCTCAGGTCTCAGGCGAGCTCTCTAAGGGCT